AATTTGCCCTATAGCCAAAGGTATTGTGAAATAAAGATATGGGTCTTTGTGAATGAACTAAAATAATTTATGTGGCATATTCACATGCTTCACTTTAAAAATTTTGTCTAGTCTGATTGAAAGATGTGTATCAAACCAAGTTCATGATCTTTTCAATTACTGACATTTAACCTTACATATCCACTCTGTCTTCTACACACGCCTAATCCATACTTTCACAGAGGTATGCTTCCTTTCTCTATCTCTCCTCTCTGACCCTTTTTCTCCTAGTTTCTTTACTGTCTTTACTGTCTCACCTGGAAGACCTCAGGCTGGCTTGATTGCTGTGCTGATGGCTGCTGAACATGTTGCTCACTAGAACTTGAGCGATGATGAGGCTGCGGACCCTGCCATTGTGGCCAGACACCCACACCCTCTGCTGTTCGTGTCTGGAACTGTCCTGCAGTTTGTCCAGTATCAGGAGCTAGAAATACAGTAAAAATAAATTACCTTCAACTTAGTAATATCAATGGAGAGGAGAAACTTGTACATAGCTACATACATGTCAATAATTTTACCTAAGATACCTTTTCTCTGTTAACGAGTGCATCTTCTATTTCAAAGCCAAATTAACTGTTCTTCTCTAGGTTTCCCCAAAGAGCTCCTTGGCCATTTATATTAAATGTGTATACTATTAAGTGTGTAGGCATTTTGTAAATTTTATAGTAAAATTATTGTAAATATTACACTATTAAATTACAGTAAATAATCTTTTTCTGGTATGTGCTAAATATTTTTCCTGAATGTTTTAAATACTAAATACATTGCCACCTTGCATTTCCTTATAATTAGGTCAATGTATCCAGAATACAAACAACTTTATCAAATTCTTTCTTTAGTAGTATCATTTTCCTATTATCCTGCTTCTGGTCTGAACTTACCGAAGTTGGATCCACGATTGGTGAGACTAGGGTAGGCAGCAGGACTAGGCGCTGCAGTAGGAGCCCCAGGGAGAGACATGGGATTGAAGGAGGACGGAGTCTGAAAGTTGCCCACACCAAATTGGGAAGAACGAGTTTTGTTTGTACCCTGTGTAGCCACCTGCTAAAGGGACAGAGACCAACAAATAACATTACTGCACAAGCCATTTCTCTTATAGTTTCATAATTAATCACTATTTTTAATACAAGCGAATAACATTCCTAACTATAGACTTCTAATTAATTCCCAGTATGTTGGCACTATTTTCTAGGTAGCTGAGAAAAAAATACAAAAAGCATAGTTGTGAGAAGTGAAAGCATTTGATTAGATGTAATTATAGGGGGGAGGGGGGAGGCTGGGAAGGGATGTGAAGGGTAAACAAAAGGAGGAGGCTGCAATGCTTGGTAAGAAATGTATGCATTATCCTGCCCATGTAATTGTAACCCCTCTGTACAGTATCTTCACAAATA